ATGCTGTAATCTTTAAAAAAAACTCAAAAATCAAGTATTTTGGAAGTCTCTCTCTGTAAGTACAAAATAGGCCTGAGGGGGTGGAATGTCCCCAAAACCCTTTTCCCCCTTTTCAAGGGGAAAATTGCATTTTTACCCTTAGTGGAGGGCATTATTCCACCCACTTGCCAGGGCATAGAAGTGCCAACTAGGCGGTAGCCAACGCATAGTCAGCCCCTCGAGAGCTTAGGCGGGTATCTAGGCACATCACTGCCTCAGACCCACCTCAGGCACTTCGCCTTGACCATGTGTTCTGACTGCCTAGCCAGCCCAGCCCAGCAAACCAGGCTGCCAAATTTTCAAACCTTGATTCTCACACTGCATCAATTGGGCATCAACGTGACATGGTTAAGGAGCTAAAACTTGAATCCTTAAGCATAATGGGGGGCTTAAATGATTTAGCATAATGGGCAAAAGATTCACATTCATATATTTCAAGAAGATGAACATATATTGTGAAAAATCATCTAAAGTAGAAAATTGCATTATATGCCAGAGTACTAGAAAATCAGGGAAACAGCTGATCCCACTCGTAACAAATTATGCCATGTTTTGCATCATGTATCCAACAATTATCTTCAATAAACATAACATTTACAAAGGAAAGATAGAATGATACACATTCATCTGCAAAGAGCACTCAGCTTTGTTACCACTTACACATTTTACAAATAGTATACTGTTAATAAAATAAAACATATACAGTTGCAGTGGATGATCGACTATTAATTACAACAAAGAACAATTTCTAATGCGAAATTACCAGCATATCATCATAATAAGTATGAGTCAAAAAAAGAAAAGTGAAATAGATCGTTGATTCAGGAAAATGAATGATAATTATCCATAACAGATTTACTTTCAGGATGAAGAGAGAAAAAATCACACCAAAAAAACAAAAATCAAGCCTTAGGCTCCATGTCCTTGGGGTAAAAGATTTCATCACCCTCTCGCACAGATTGATGCTGTAAATGACATTTTGGTCCAAAATACACTCATAAAACTTCTTCGAGAAAAAAATAAAAAAGCAGCACAGGCAATTGGTAGACAAAAAAAATTCACAAGCAACCACAGTTGTAATTAAGTACTCTTGCAAGCTACTTTGAGGCTCCAATCCCCCGCCCCACCTACCCAAACTTCTTGCAGCACCCACCAAAAGCTCAATGTTCACCTTTTTTTCACATTTTTCTTTGTGTTTATAGAAGGGCAAGGAGAATAAAAATCAACCAGACTAATAATACTGAAAACATCAATTACCAAATGGGGGGGTTCCACTAGACTCCTTTTTTGGTTTTTGGGTGATGTTTCTTTTGGTTGCATTCCATACAACTTGGGGTAAATTTACTACTCATCACAATCTATCAACAGAAAGCACACACAAACAGTATGGATTGGGCATGAATTTTACATCTGTAACGCGGGAGAATATGAATTGCGCAGTTCATAGATGCTTGAAGTTTCATCTTAATGCAAGAGCGCAAGTTAGACTGCCTAAGGCACAGCTTCATGTTCAAGCCACCTAGGAATTGGCTATATGGAATTCCAAAACTTAGGAATGGCATCTAGTTACTGGATTTGTGCCTCTACCGAAGCATGAACCTGAAGCATGAGGCCCATCAACCTTTTGACCATTTCCAATTCATCATATTTACATAAAATTTATCCAAGACATAGTTACCAAGATTGGGATCAAATTAAAGTTGGATTAGGGATCGGGACCATGGAATCTTGAACAAACAAAAAGCCCCCTAAGGTAGGGATCATTGTCCTTACACATGAAATCAAGGGATCTTGATCCTAATAAGTGGGGGATCTAGATCCACACTTAATCGGGGTTGAATGATAAATTGTTCAGGACTGAGCTCCTTCTAGTTAAAAAGTGGAGCCCAAGAGCAATTAACTAGTTGATGCAAATAAAAAAGTGCTTTTTTAAAAAAAAATTATATTTTTTGGACTTAGAAAATACGTTATTTGGATTTTTAGTTTTCTTTAAGGTTATTCTTGTCATTTTTTAGTTGCAGTGATTAAAGGGGTAGAATTGGCAGTTTAGCTTCTTTTCTTAAAAAAAAGATGGATATGAATAGGGATTAGCATGGTTGGGTTCGTTAGGATATGTTAAACTTGTTTTTAACAGAAAGGAGAGATAGAATTTAGTTTGTTATTTTTATTTTATTTTAAGTTATTATTCATTATAAGTTTGTATTTAAAGGGAAGAGGTCCCTTATTTGTAGATAGATGGTGATTGGAAAATAGAGAAAGCGATTTCATCTTGTGAAAAGATCTTGGGGTGGACTCCCTTGCAGACCTGAGAGAGGGTTTAATCTCATAACCTTTTCAATTTAATTTTTTTATTTTTATGATTTATTATTTTTCTCCCTACATCAGTTGGTCTCAGAACAAAGAAGATCCAACCATCGCAATGCCACCGAAATGTAATCCTGATATGGATGATCACATGGGATATACTTTAGAAAATCTAACCAAAGTCATACAAGACGTTCGAAGCAACGTTCATGAAATGAATTAGCAGTTGCAACAGTTGCATAATATTATTATTCAAGATGAGGGTGCTTGCAACCATGAAAATCCAACTCCAAATTTTTCCATAGAGATGACTCGAGGTCCACACTAACTTGGGGTGCCGAACCTGAATGTGACAATCACATCGTGATGCAAGAAGCACGATTTGAGGAGCATCCACATGATTTTGGTATTCAGCTTGATCTTCTTGAGTTTTATCAGGAACTTGAAAAAGAAATCACAATTGAGCTTGAGATCTCAGTGTTTTACTTCAAGATGAGCACAAAGTATTTGATGAATTGGTTTATGCAAAAGTGCTGAGGCGTATGATTGGACTACATCACCAATTATTCGATTGGCTTTTGAAGGATGTAAGCTCGAGGTCGAGCTTCTCCCAATCTCGGGAGAATGATGCAAATAAAAAAGTGATTCTTTTGATTTTTTTTATTTTTATATTTTTTAGGACTTAAAAAATATGTTATTTGGATTTTTAGTCTTCTTTAGGGCTATTCTTGTCTTGTTGTAGTTGTACAGATTTAAAGGGTAGAATTGAATTTTTTTTATTTTTTTTTAAGATGGATATTGATAGGGATTAGCACGGTTGGGTTGGTTAGGATAGGTTAGATTTGTTTCTAAGAGATAAGGGAGAGATAGAATTTAGTTTGTTATTTTTATTTATTTTTAGCTTATTCCTTATAAGTTTGTATTTAAAGGGAAGAGATCCCTTCTTTGTAGAGAGATGGTGATTGGCATATAGAGAAAGTGCTTTGATCTTGTGAAAAGATCTTGGGGTGGACTCCCTTGCAAACCCTAAGAGATAGTATAATCTCTCAACCTTCTTTTTTTTTTTTTTTTTTTTTGATTTATTATTTTTCTCTCTGCATCATTAGTATAAAATTCCACATTGTATTACAATAACACATTGTAATACAATATTACATTGCTACACTATACTACAATACATGCTATTATACTACATTCTAGTACAATACAACTATTAAAATATATGTTTAAATATACTATGTTAAACTACAATATTGTGTTATATTATAGTCTAATATACAACTAGAATACTATAGACAACTATTAATATATACTATAGCATACTATGTGGTATATTATATTCAAGTATACAATTAGAATGCTCCATTATATGCTAGTATACCATATGTTATTATATTTAAATCTACTATATACAATTATATATTGTGTTCCATACTATATACTGTACACTATACCAGACTATACTGCTATATTATATTATAATAGTAGGAAATTAGATTTCTTGTAAATAAGGATGATCCCAAATAGGAAAAATCGAGATTCGAAGGTGCAAGATCCTCTTCTTCACATAATAGGATTAGGATTTCAGAGCAGAATCAAACCCTTAGTAGGGGGATTATGGTAATTAAGATCTAATACTAAGCATTGTAGATTATTGCTACCAACATTGATCGAGGACATAGCTAGGTCAACTTGGACTCGGTTGAGTTACTCATCCTCAGCAGGGTGCTGAGGCAAGTATCAATGCCAACATCGGGGGAGATTGCTAATGTACGATGCTCATGTGAGTACTATAGAGACTCGCCCGAGTACTGTAGAACTCATGGGTAACCCAGTCTAACTTGCCCCAGTTCTATAGTACTCGAGCAAATCGCTATAGTACTCACCTAAGAAATGTTCGCTGTTGAACAAAAAAGGGGAGTGGAAATCTGCCTGTTTTTCATTTTTTAATGCTGAAGCCCCAAACCCCATATTTTCATCCAAAATTTTAACTTAAGCTTTTTATTTTACAAGAACTACCTATTCAAAGTCTTAGATTCTAGGGAAAATACTCGATTTCATGTGTTTTGTAGGGAAAAGATTTTGGCAAGTTCTCAACCCGATTTTGAAAATTTTCGATTTCTTCAAAATAGAGGGTCAATCTTTGAAGAAAATCAAAACCTAACCCTAAATTTTTCTTGATTCTGTTAATTTTCCAATTATTTATACGTTTCTATTCTTGGGATCTTTCTCCCTTTTCCTTATTTTCCCTAGCCCTTTGTGTACTTGGGCAAGACTCAAACAAGTATTCTCCGACTTGGCCAAGTAATTTGGTAAGGGCAGAGGCAAAGTTCAGAGCCCAAGTCGAGTTTCTTAATATTGGTTACCAATGTATCTTCTACATCCAGTGCCAAATATCATGCTATAGACAACAGTAGTAATGGAAAACATTCCCACACCACAAGCTTCTCCCAATATGCTATTATACAACCTTGATAGTTGTATCAAATGTATTACTTCTAATATTTCAATATTTGATGTACGTTGAAAGTGAAGAAATCTAAACAAACGTGCAAATTGGCTTCATGCTAGAAAAAAAAATAATATCACCCAAACTTTTATATACATGGTAGTCAAATAGGGGAAAAAAATATTTCTCTCAAAAAAAATCATCTTACCTGCTTTTATGATGCTTATAATGATCAGTTTTGTAGACCCATTCAACAACAAACAAGGCCTGCATCCAATTGCCAACAGCTCCAAGTCCTTCAATGATTTTAAGTAGATTGTCTTCAGTGAAAACTATGTTTGTATTACTCATTAACCTTGAAAACTTCCAATTCCGTTTGCTAAGGTTCAAAACATTCAGCCTACCCACAAAGAAATTATCAGATATGCTCTTGCAAGTCATATAAAAACCAGGCATTAGCACAATGAATGAATCTTTTATCGCAAAAAACAAAAATAACAATAATAATAATAATAATAATGGAATGGAAGAAATACAGGAAAGAAACTTGGAAAGTACGCTATCGATTGTTCACTAATCCCCTTAATAACAAGCAACAAGGAAATTCAAAAATATTACCAATCAGTAAGATCCAAATGAATTGTCAAATGGACATATCAAAAGGTAGAGAATTTATTTATTTAGTCATTCATTCATTTTGCCTGAGAAATTAGATGATACGTCACGTTTAACCAGTTTAGCAATGTACAACATTTTGCATTTCCAGAAATTCAAGACACACACAATCTGTGACCTTTCACTGCAGGAGGGAGAGAGAGAGAGAATTACTATCTACAGTTGGGTGGAGGGGAGCGATAGAATCCAATACATAAACAACCTACTCTTGTTGTAACAAGGAGAGAGAGAATCCAACACACAAGCAACCAACTCTCATTAAATATTGAGATAGAGAGAGAAAGAGAGAGAGAATCAACAGTCAAGAACCAACTCTCATTATAACAAGGAGAGATAGAGAATACAACAGACAACCAAACAGAGAGAGGGGGAGGACGGGCGGGAGGGAAAGTGAGTGAGAGCAAACAGACACATTTTCTCAACTCATGAGCTTACCTGTGAACAAGCATTCTGACCCGGCTCTCATCCCCTTCACGCCTCCCATACCTCAAACCCTTCCTCCCTCCTTTAACCAAACCCCCTTCCTCCTCTGCATCTTCTCCCCCAACAAAACCTAACAATTCCTCTGAATTCCCCGCTGAAAGCATCTCCCGAAATTCCTCCAAATACTCGACCCTAAGCTTCTTCCCTTTATACTCTTCACTAACCCTAGCAAGCCCTTTTACATCAAACCCCCTCACCCATGGCCTACCTGCAAATCCACCATTGAACTCCCTCATTATGGACCGATATTCTTCCCTAGCAGCTCTAACCCGCAGAGCTGCATCCATGGCTTGTCTCTCCAACTCCGAGAGAGGCTTCTCCCCCCCTTCTTCATCTCGCTTCTTTTCTAGGGCTTGGGTAAGGCGATTTGCTTTGCGGTTGGCCTTCTGAATCTCCTTTTTACGAAGAGCGTGAACTATTTTGGGGGTAGGAAAAACGCCTTTACGGACGAGTTTTTGCTTGATTCTTCGGGTGTCTGGCTCGAATTGGGAGGGATATTTAGGGTTGGTATTTGGATTTTGAGGAGGAAGGGGAAGCATAGTGGTTTGCATTTGCATTTTGGCTGCAGAGAAATGTATACAGAGGAAGATGGAGAGGTCTTTCAGAGGCTACATACGGCGGGAATCAAACGTTGGGATTTTACACAATGAGAGTATTTATGCGGGAATCTCAATTGCATGCAATGAAACATGCGGAAAGGAGCTTACAGTTATTCTTAGCGATTAGATGTAAAATTGGAGGGTTAAGAGGTTTCACAAGAGCATCTTCTTTTATATTTTTGAGTGATGCTCTTATCGTTTAATTTAAAATTTAATGAACAAGAATAATTATAAAGGCATATAATAAAAAATAAAAATAATTATTTGTATATTTTTTCGTATGGATGAAATTTAAAAAAATAACCATTTATCATTTGTACAAAGAGTTTATAATCATGTTTGTTTTTTAAATTTCAAAATAGGTAATTGTAAAAGTGTCATTAAGTATACAAAAAATTAAAATTTATTTAAAATACAGACCTTTTATATATAGATATTTCTGCTCGTGTCCCCTTAAATATTATTTCTTGATCAATCCCATGAAAAAAAGTTTAAATCTTTTAGGCTTGCGTCAGTAAATTGCAAAAATTGTACGGACCACTTTTGTACATTATGCCGACCAATTTTCTTTGTTACAAAAAAAAAAAATTGTGTGCTCTGCCCTTCAGTAGAACAACCTTTTTGCCTCTAAAAAGTCAACCATTTGCCCAATCTCAGTCAAATCTATCGATAAACCCCTTTGAAAAAAAACTATGAAGACTGTTAAATCTGAAATATTTACCTTTTTGTTTTCTTAAAAGAACTATTTGAAAATGACCTCTGAAAATTCACAATATCTAACATCACTGCCTTCCCTTTGAAATCAAATGGCCTTTGAGTAATGGCCTCTGAAAAATCCCTCTGAAATTTGATCTAAAACCCATTTCTGTATTTACTTTTGAAAAATGACTTTTGAAAACAACTGATCTGCCTTATCTAAAAAACTGCCCCTCTATTTGTTTTTGCTTATGGATATTGATCTCAGGGTCTAGATCTGTTTCAAATCTCACCCCACCACTCTGATACATTATTGTCATTGACGCTTTGAAACCCTTTTTTTAGTACAATGATAAATTACTCCACAGTGTGATAACCCTAACATAAGAATATATATATATATATATATATATATATATATATAA